TGCTTTCATTGCCAGAGATAGCTCTAACTCTGCCAGTCTTGCCCTTGCTAATTCAGTTCCTAGAACTCTGTGGTGGAGAAGTTGTGCAGAGGGTTGTCATTCTATTTCCTGGTTTAGGTGGGTGTCACACAGATGTTTTACTTTGTTTAAATGCATTGGTTGAAATGCATTGGGCTGTATTCTCAATGCACGTATGTTACAGTTCAACAAAACCACATTAAAATAATACACACGAATGAATATAAAAATATCCAGGACAATTCTTAAAAATAAAATTAATGTATAGGAGCTAGTTCTACTAGATTTACAATATATTCTAAAGCTATTATAGTTAAACAGTTTGTTCTGGACCATGAATATACAGACAGATCAATAGAGCAGGATAACAAGTTCAGAGCTGGGAAAAAATATACAGAAGAAGCTAATATATGATAAGCACACCCTCAAATCTGTGAAAAATCATCAATTAATCAATAAATAATGTTGCTACAACTGGGAAGCCATTAATTTAAAAAAAGAGTTCTTAAAGGGTTAAAACATTAAAAGTTAATTCTTAAGAAAATCTGGGAGTATTCTTCTACACTTTCAAAATGGAGATCAGTTTTATAATACAACAAACAAGAACTATAAAATAAAAAATTTTTAAATGTGTTTACATAATAACATTTTCTATATGGTTGAAATATAATAAAGTCAAAGGTCAAAAAACACAGCAGAAGAAATTTAGTTTCTCATAGCACAAAAATAACTTAATTTCTCCAATATCGTATAAGTGCTACAAATCAGTAATAAAGTCATCAAGAATACGGTTAAGTATTAGGTAAGTTATAACATCAGGCAGTTCCCAGAAAATGGATGTTGTGGTTTACTAAATGTAATAAAATATAGTTCAGCTTAGTTACTAAGAGAAATTCAAAACTACTTTGCGATCCTGTTTTTAACCTACCAGATGGGCCAAGAACAATTAATTTAAAAATACATCATTTTGATGAATTTATGGGGGGAAATTGCAGTCTTATACATTGTAGGGCGTGAAATAAATCAGTGAAACTCATATGGAAGAAACTGGAAATACTGATCAAATTACAAAACTAGCCTCTGAGTCAGCAATTGCACTTAAATAAATATATTCTATCTCCTCCTGAGGAATGATGTATAAATAATGTGTTCACTGCAGCATTGTTTGCAAGGGCCAAAATTGGGAACTTCTGTGTATACATAGGTTATTATCCAGACTGGGAAACAAAGGGAGAAATTCTTAATGTACTGAAATGGAATGATCTCCAACAGATGCTATTGTGAAAAAAGCAATGAGCAAAACGATGTGGAGTTACTCTTATTTCGTTAAAAGAAGAAAAAATATACATGTTTGTGTGGGGTTTTTGTGCATAAAATATCCCTGAAAGGATATTTCAGAAATTGATCTCTGTTAACTGAAATATCTGAGTCGCACGTGGGGGATTTCACTGTGTATCCTTTGTAACTTCTGATTTTAGGCCCAAGTAAATGTGTAATAATGATCAGTATTAATAATATTAAAGGAGAAGGGCCAGGCACCGTGGTGCATGCCTGTAATCCCAGCACTTTGGAAGGCCTAGGCAGGAGGATCTCCTGAGCTCAGAAGTTCAAGACCAGCCTGGGTAACGTGACAAAACCCCATCTCTACAAAAGATACAAAAATTAGCCAGGTGTAGTGGCACGCACCTATAGTCCCAGCTACTTGGGAGACTGAGGTGGAAGGATCACTTGAGCCCAGGAGGTCGAGGCTGCAGTGAGGCAAGATCACACCACTACGCTACAGCCTAGGCAACAGGATAAGACCCTGTCTCAAAAAAAAAAAAAAAAGTAAAAAAAAAAAAATCACATTAAAGGAGACCTACAGGAAGCAGAGCCTCAAATGCTAGAGCCCAGGAAGACAGCACCATAAAGACTCACTCCGTTACTGGAGCTAATTACATCATTACATCAGCAAATTCCTGCAAACCGGCCTCGACTTTTCTCACCATCAATTAACATAGCCCATGCAGCAAAGAAAGATGGTCATCATCTTCCCCACTTTTGATAACAGAGGCAGAAAAACCTAAGGAGGTAGGAGTGGGGCTGCCACAGGACACATTCTGCTAGTTTGAATGATGCATTGAAAACAGCCTTAGGAAATGGGTTCCCCAATTTGGACAAACAGTTAGAAGTTATTGGCAGACAAACTGATTAGAAAAAAAAGACCAACAATCACCATTCATGCATTCAACTAATATTTTTTGAGTATTTACTGTGTATTAAGAACTGTTCTGTCTGAGAGCCTGAGATATATCAGTAAGCAGCATTTGCCTTTTTGGCAATGACATTCTAATTAGAGAAGACAATACATAAAACTATAATAAATAAAAATTAGCTTATTTTAGTGCTATGAGATACCGGTCTTTATATTATATGTATATTATATTATATTTGAAAAGTACCACCAGAGGAACACAAAACAGGACTGTGTAAAGATATCCATGTGAGAATATTAAATAAGCAGTTGGATGTGAAAGTCTGAAGTTCTGGAGAGATGTCTGAGCTGTTATTAACAAAGTAGACATCATCATTACTGACATATAGATGGCCTTTATGGTCAGGAGACTGAATGCTCCAACCAAGAAAATAAGTGTTGGTGGAGAAGGAAAGAGAGCCGAGGACTCCAGCAGGAAGTAATCAGGCAGAAGAACAGGAACACACAGAGTTCCAAGTTAATATACTAGTTAAATTATTCTTCCATGCGTTTATTGACTAAATGTGGATTTAGTACCTATGATGTTCCATACAGTGTGTTGGAACTAGGACTTAAATGGTGAGCAGAAAGTATACCTATCCTCACCTCCTAGATAGCCTTCATTAACTTAATTTTAATTAACTAATATGCGTTATGGTTAAAAATTCAAATAGTTTATGTGTATGTGATTCTTCTAGGAAAATGTCTATGTGATTCTTCTAGGAAAATATGTATGCTAACATATACTAACATATATGTTTATCTTATATATATATAAGATGTATATATCGTTATATATACTTTCTTTTTTATAAGAAAAGGAATATACTAACATATTGTTTACTGGATTGCTTTCTTTGATTACATAGTTGGGAGAATTTTTCATAGCATCATCTACAATGGACTCTATGCTTTTATTAGCTATATACTATCCTATTACATGATTGTAAAATGAAATCTCATTAACGGGATATGAAAATACCAGTTTCTCAACATATTCGTTAACAATTAATGTGATCAAAATTTCATGTTTGTTACCGGACTGTCATAGAAAAGTCAGTGTCTCATTGATCTTCTGGTTTGCATTCCTTTAGTTATGAGTAAGCATTTCTTAATAGGTTTGTTGGCCATTTCCATCTGTCTCTCCCTCTCACTCTACCCCTCTCTCCCTCTCTGTACTCTTCCTAGAAATAACTTAATTCTTATAGATTAAGGCTTTGGTCCCAACTACAATGTTAGACACTTGGGGAGATGTGAATGAGAGCAGACATTTTACTGAGAATAAATTTTGGAAATAACTATAAGCATGAAGACCTGAAGAAGGCAAGTGAAAGAGAAGTAGTTGAATAGTATATTATAGAATGAAAAGCACAATTCAATTCATATACTTCCCAGGAGTGCTACCCTTTGGCCGAGGTAGTTCTGTCCTGGACTTCACACTTTAAAGAGTCCTTCTCTGGTTCTCTTCCAGCCATGACCCTGGCCATAGGATAATTTCATATTTCCAGTGTATAGGCCCAGAGCTGCTGTCTCCCTCATACCCACTATCCAGGATCCCAGAAATCTCTGTCAAATGGCCCTGAGATCATCTCTATGTGTCCATCCTCCTGAAGACTCAAACGGCCAACACTGTGCTCACTTCTAGGTCTCAATAACCAAGAGAGGGGCAGTTTGAGAGATCCGTGTGTGAAAAGAACATGGATGGTATGGGCTAGGATACTTACACTCATGCACACCCGAGGTCCCTCATGGCACAGGATGAAGCCAGGGAGTAGGAAGAGAACAAGGGGTGAACCACAGGGGTCAGAAGCCTCTGTTTAGGCTCTTGCCTGGTGTCCTACAAGTGTTTATGGCAGGCATGCTTCCCAGGAGAAGATAATTTCCTAGTCACTGTCCTTAAACAGGCCATGCTAAAGGAAGAAAGGGAAAGAATAGACATAATGAAATGCTTCTCTCTTCTCACCATGTTAGTCAATTCACTATTGAATTGATTCAGTTTCAGAATTTTTTATGTGCCAATTGCTCAGCCAGACACTGGGAATATCAAAGTGAATAAAATAGGGTCCTTGCCCCTAAGGCATCCCAGTTTCTCCCCTGTTTAAAACCTTTCGGTGCTTCCCATTGTCCTCAGGATAAAGTCCAAACTATTTTCTTTATGGCATAAAGAGTCCTCACCAACACAACCTTACCTACCTAGGTAGGTGAGTCTCCCCCTTCTCCTTACTCCCCACTCTGCTCCAGCCGCACTGAGCTTTTCCACCAAATAGCTTATACTTTCACACTTCTGGATCTGAAAATGTCTCCCAGACACCCCCTTCCTATTTCCAATTTTCAAGTCTCAGCTTAAATATCACTCCCTCCAGGAAGCATATCTGACCCCCAAACCTGACCCCTGTGCTTATCCTACCATCATTATTATTACATGGTATTATTGGCTATTGACTTGCCTCCATATTGAATTGGTTCTTTGAGAATGGAAACTACATTCCATTGAGCTACACTTCACTTTTTAGGACACAGCCTGGTAGATAGGAGACACTCAATACAGATTTGTGTTTTAGGTCATTGCATGCTTATGGGTTAGCTAGGGAACTTTGTATCTTTCAGGAAAGAAACCGAGAAGAGTCAAACTCTCCAGCAGGCAGAGGGCGCTAGTGAGTGAGCTAGGCATAGAGTCCTGAGGAGAGGATTATGATGTCATAGAGGCTTAGAATCTTGGTATTAGCAGGGGAGGGAACCAATCTGGTTCAGAAGACTTTGGCTTCTGATAGTCATGGACTCACTAGGCTGCTGAGGAAGATCAATAATATCTACTGGAATCAGTCATGAGAAGTCAAGCATGGAAATTGTGAATTGAGAAGTGTGTGGCCAGACCAGGTAACACAGAAACCTTATCTTTTGGGCCCTCTCTGCATGGCTTTTTAATGTGTTCATTCATTATATATTTACTTACTGAGGCCCATGCAATGCCATTCAGTGTGCTGGATGAGAGGATTCCAGGATTCATCCTATATTTCAGGAAAAGGCTCCTGCTTCCATTTAAGAGGAAGACACTGCATCCTGGCTAACACGGTGAAACCCCATCTCTCCTAAAAATACAAGAAAAGCCGGGCATGGTGGCAGGCACCTGTAGTCCCAGATACTCAGGAGGCTGAGGCAGGAGAATAGTGTGAACCCTGGAGGCAGAGCTCATCACAGTGAGTGGAGATCGAGCCACTGCACTCCAGCCTGGGCAACAGAGCGAAACTCCATCTCAAAAAAAAAAAAAAAATAGGAAGTCACTGGAGCCTCTGGGGGTGGGGATAGTGAGGATATCTGTGCTCATGGAGCTAACGGACCACAGAAGTCAGACAATTAGGGAAATAATAACCACTATAAAAATGTAATGAGAAGTACAGGGGATCCAAGAAAGCCTATCAGGGAGACAGAGGCTATGGGTTAAGGAAGTTTTCCTTGAGGAGTGATGTGTAAGCAGAGACTTCAGGTTTGAACGATATTCAGTGAGCGTGTGAGGACAGAGACCCAGGAAGGGTGGTTCAAGCTGGGGAAGAGCACGTTCAAAGACCCGGAAAGAGGTGAGAAAATTCAGCAGGTGTCTGCTCTGAGCCAGTCTGATGCCTGAGAGAACAGTGGGTGGACATGAGACTAGGCCGGTTGGCAGACGTCAGACAGAAGGCACCTTGCCAGGGCCCTCCTGGTGGTTTGGACTCTGTATTAATCCTCACTGAATAGAGCAATAAGAAAAGCTAGGAAGATGGCCCTGGCCCTGGGCCACAAGTGTTTGATGCGATCAGGCAGATTTCCTGAGGCAGGCTATGCAGAGCTTGGTTGGGAAGGAGGGGAAACAGAGCATGGAGAGAATATTTATATATTTATTTATTTTAATTTTTATTTATTTACTTATTGAGATGGAATCTCATTCTGTCTCCCAGGCTGGAGTGCAGTGGTGCAGTCTCGACTCACTGCAACCTCCGCCTGCCAGATTCAAGCAATTCTCTTGCCTCAGCCTCCCAAGTAGCTAGTATTACAGGTGCATGCCACCATGCCCAGCTAATTTTTGTAGTTTTAGTAGAGATGGAGTTTCACCATGTTGGCCAGGCTGATCTCAAACTCCTGACCTCAAGAGATTCACCTGCTTTGGCCTCCCAAAGTGCTGGGACTACAGGTGTGAGCCACTGAGCCTGGCCAAGGAGAGAATCTTAAGAAGAAACTCTTGCAGGAGGCAGAGTGGTCAGGAGGCACATTTATTGTACAGGAGCTAGCGTTCTGAAAGTGGAGGAAATAGATGATATTCACCAGGCAGAAGGAAGACAGTGGAGACAGCATTGGCTCAGAGGGGCAGGACCTGCATCCATGGGGGTGAAGCTGCAGAAGGACTTGATGTTGCCCTCCTTATGCTATAGTCAACAAGACTGGTTTCTAACCTGCTCTCCTTCTCTGATATGGCACAACCTCCATATTCAGGACCTGTTCCCAGGATCTGACTATGGGGGACATGCTTGGAGTGGAGATGTTGGTGGGACTAGTGAGGCAAGCCCCTGGACCCGGGCTCCAGGTGCCCTCTGATGCCTCTGCATCTCTGGTCACTGGAATGAGAATTGCTTCTGTAGAAACAGCTCAGCCTGGACTTGTAAGGATGGACCCTAACAAACTAGACTTCCAAGTGGTGATGAGACTCTGCACTTTGGTCAGTTCAGGGCACTGACCTTCAGAATAGAGAAAGGTAAACTGGAGACAAAAGACAGAAATATAGAGACAGGATGAAGACCAGAGAATGATAAAAAGGCAGAGAGAAAAAATAGTAAAAGGCAAAAATAAACACAGAGAGAAACAACAGAAAATAAAAACAGAAGAGGCTCACTCCTTCCTCATCCCTCTCAAAACCTAGTCTTAGGTCTGACCCCTAAGGGAGCAGATTCAAACAACAAGGAGACAGGGACAAATACTGGGCTCCCTGCATACACCCACACACTCAAACTCACCCCTGTACAGCTGCAGGGGCACCCAGGTGTATGCTTGTGTGCGCATGTGGACACACACACTTCCTGTCAAACAGCTTTGAACACTACAAAGGTGGTAGAGAACATGGCCCTGTACTCTTTCACCTCTTCCCTGTTTTTATGCTGGTTTGTCTGTGTCTTATTTCCATTTTTGGTGTACCTCTCCATTGCTCACCTCTCTCCTTCCCGTTCCCTCTCAGGCAAGTCAAGGCATTGCAGGGCCTGCATCTGCCACCTCAGCCTCTTTGCAGCTTCCTCTGACCTGGAAGGAGCAACGGGGTGACTTGTCCCCACGCCCATCCTTTAGGAGTCTTGCTCCAGTGTCTTCCTCTTAAATGGAAGCAGGAGCCTTTTCCATGAAAGATAGGATGAATCCTGGAATAACTGGCAGGGATAGAATTGTGACTAAATTAAAGTCAACATCCTAATCCAAGTCACTCTTCCTTTTTTAGGTGGGAACTGCCCTTGACCCAGTTCAGGCTGCAACCGTATAGCCAGAGACTTAGGATCATGAAGGGTTTAGACCAGGTGGCAGGGCCTTAAGAGATAACCCTTCCTTCTCAATTGTCTCTCACCCTAATGCTGTAGTTCAGAATATTCAAACATAGGGGTCCTTATAGGAGGTAGCACTGTGCTCCCCTTCTTCCCAGAGAAAGTCTCAGGCTTTCTCTGTAAGAAGGAGGGCCCTGGCATATGCCCAAGCCTTCTCACGCACATGCCAGGGACCTCCTTCCTACAGAGAAACCCTGAGATGAGACTCCAATGGTTCAGAAAGTGAAAGTGAAGAGAGGCCGGCTGGGGCTGCGTCCAACGTGTGAGTCTGAAAGTTACTGTTACTAGTGGGTGGAGGTGTCGGCCACACCTGGCTCAATGGGACCCAGTTTTTACACTACGAACTGGATTTAGGTGAATCCCCAGATAAAAAAGGGTTGAGTCTAAGAGCATGTCACCCATCATTCAGGACAGCCACAGCCCTGGGTCTTCTATAAGTCACAGGGGTGATTCAGATAGCAAAGTAGGTCGTCTGACAGGCATCCTTTAGCAACCACCTGACTGGAGAATCATGCACACCTTCAGGAAAGGATGATATAGATTTTTGTCCTACTGGGGTGGATTAGTCCTTCTCCACACTGCTCTAAAGATACTACCGAAGACTGGATCATTTATAAAGGAAAGAAGTTTAATCGACTCACAGTTCCACATGTCTGAGGAGGCCTCAGGAAACTTACAATCATGGCAGAAGGCAAAGGGGAAGGACCTTCTTCACTTGGTGGTGGGAGACAGAAGTAAGAGCAGGGGAAATGTCAGACACTTATAAAACCATCAGATCTTGTGAGAACTCACTATCATGAGAACAGCATGGGGGAAACTGCCACAGTGGTTCAATCACCTCCCTCCCTCAACATGTGGGGATTATAGGTTCCTCGCTCCACATGTGGGGATTACAATTCAAGATGAGATTTGGGCAGGGACACAGACCCAAACCAATCATTATCATGGGGTAACCCCCAGAAATAATTCATTTTTCTATTTTAATTTATTTTATTTTATTTTATTTCATTTCATTTCATTTTTTGAGATGGAGCTTCGCTTTTGTTGCCAAGGTTGGAGTGCAATGGCACGATCTCGGCTCACTGTAACCTCCGCCTCCTGGGTTGAAGTGATTCTCCTGCCTCAGCCTCCCGAGTAGCTGGGATTACACGCACCTGCCACGACGCCCAGCTAGTTTTTGTATTTTTCGTAGAGATGGGGTTTCACCAAGTTGGCCAGGCTGGTCTCGAACTCCTGACCTCAGGTGATCCACCCGCCTTGGCCTCCCAAAGTGCTAGGATTACAGGCATGAGCCACCATGCCCAGTCCTCCCCCGGAAAGACTTTAGTGTGAGGAGAGATTTGTAGCTACTGTCCCCAGGAGTCCCTCTATCTACAGAACACAAAAGAAGAGGACAAGACAAGAGATGTGGCTTTCTAAACATCAGGGAGAGGATTTGAGCAGGACTTGGGGGAAGTAGCTTGACAGCAGGTACGGATCGGATGGAGGGCAAGTAGGGAGTGTCCAGCAGGAGAGAGACGGCTAGGACGGAGGCTGGCCCCTGCTAGGAGCTATTCACACTGGCTCTAACTGTTAAGACTCATGAGAAAGTTCAAGTAATATCAATTTGATCCAACTAAACAGCCATCATCACAAACCTCAAGTTCTCCTCACCATGTACTTATGATTATGCATGGACACATGCTTACATGCATTCACGTGTGTGCACACAAACACACACACACACACACACATTCTCACAGAGATATGGGCAAGTGTGTGCCTAGTGGAAAGCCCACAGCAGTAACTGGTTCAGTTTAAAAAACTAGTTTGGGGCCCGGTGCAGTGGCTCACGCCTGTAATCCCAGCACTTTGGGAGTCTGAGGTGGTCGGATCACCTGAAGTCAGGAGTTCGAGACCAGCCTGGCTAACATGGTCAAATCCCATCTCTACTAAAAATACAAAAATTTGCTGGGCATGATGGCCGGTGCCTGTAATCCCCGGTACTCCAGAGGCTGAGGCAGGAGAATCACTTGAACCTGGGAGGCAGAGGTTGCAGTGAGCCAAGATCTCGCCCTTGCACTCCAGCCTGGGCGACAAGAGTGAAGTTCCATATCCAGTAATGGTACTTCCCTCCAAAGAGAAAAGAAAGAAAGAAAAAAAAAATTAGTTTGGGCAAGAGGCTTTTCTCACAATCCCGAGGATGCCAGAGGCCAGAAGGTGGTTGCAACTTCACTTCAGCAGTTGTCAATCCAAATCCCACACCCATCCCCCACACCGGTGACAGGGCTCTGACAGGCCTGGCACCTCACCGACATGAGTTTGTGGCTTTGTGAGCTGAGTCCCCAGAGGGGGTATAGGCTCATTTCCCATGCTTCCACAGTTCCCTGAGGAGGCTAGATAACAACCTGCTCACTGCCTACTGTTTCCTGGCCACTTCTAGACCCTCTATTCTGCTCTGGGGCCACAACAGTGGTGTTCATCCTCTCATCATGTGCCATTGGAGGGACAAGGCAGAAACCATATAGGGGCTTCCCCAGGGGCTGCATACTGGGGCCAAGGCCCAGGGACCTTCCTGGGAGAACTTGGATTTCCTGGGTGGAGGAAGGTAGATAGATAGAAGTAAAGCAAGAGTTGTTTGGATTTTCTCTATACCTAGAAGAATGAGGAAATTACAAAACTGCTGAATGGTTGAATTTGAGGATCCCTATAAGGTCCAGTTCCCCCTTCCTCATCCCCACCACTGCCCCTTTATAGAGGAAGAGATACAAGCCCAGAGAGATGAAGAGAACTGCCCAAGCCCTGAGGCTTGGGAGTTGCAGAACCAGCCCTAGAACTCAGGTCCTGCCATGCCAAAAGCACTGTACTTTTCATTTCATCTCGCTGTAACCACCACAGTGCTCTGTGCATGGGACAAGATGATGCGTTCAGGAAGGGTGTAACAGTTGATCACTCTAAGTACAAGAGTTCCATTGCACCTGGGTCCCTGGATGCCACATTAGAGACAAGAACAAGCACATGCTCTGGAGTGGGATAGAGCTTGGCTTGAATCCACTTACAAGCAACTGAGGTGGATCTTTGAACTTCAGTGGTCCTCGTATGATGTGAAGTGGACTAAAAATGTCTACTTGAGGCAGGTAGCGGTCATTACATTAGCTGATGTTTGTGAAGGGCCCGACACTTGACCCAGGATCTGGCAACTGAGGGTCACACTGTTTGCTCATTAGCTAAGAGACCTTAGGCACATTGCTTACATATTCTGGTCTTTTGATTCTTTATCTGGCAAATGACTACCTAGTAAGGAACAAACATGCTGGCATATGCAAAGGTAGAATTACAGGGCTGGCTGGCCCCTCTGAGGTATCCAGCTCTGCTTTCTCAACCCCGGTCTGAGTCATTATCCTGAAGATAGATGTATTTGGGTGGTAAGAAAGGAGGAAATGAAAGCAGGCACCCAGATTTCCTTCTGATGAGAATATTATTTTCTTTTTCTAGTACCTCCAAGTGTCCAAAAGATGTGTGACCAGCCAAAACACAGTCAATGCTGCCCAGCAAAAGGCAATCAATGCTGCCCGTCAAAACAGAACCAGTGCAGCCAGCCAAAAGGCAATCAATGCTGCCCACCAAAACAGAACCAGTGCTGCCAGCCAAAAGGCAATCAATGCTGCCCTCCAAAACACAATCACTGCTGCCAGCCAAAACCCCCTTGCTGCATTAAGGCCAGGTGCTGTGGTTTGGAGACCAAGCCCGAATGCTCACCGCTTAATATGGAGTCTGAGCCCAACTCACCACAAACTCAGGACAAGGGCTCTCAAACCCAGCAGCAGCCCTATAGCCCACAAAATAAGTCCAGTCCAAACAAATAGGAGTAGAAGTCAAACAAATAGATTGTCCCTGGGGCCATGCCTTTCACTCTGTAGGGTGGGGTATTACTGAGAGTCAGGCTAGACCTATGTTTAGAGAAGCAGTTTTCACAGTGACTACCATTTCCACCCAACGAGAGGCTTCTATTTCCCATCATAGCTCCCTACCCTAGGAAGGCCTCCATCTGGAAATGGGAGGATGAAGAAGCTGGAATCATCTTTCCTAGTGATCCTGACATTTAGACAGCACAGAAATAAAAGAGCAATAAAAAGAACATTGCCTCCCTTTGTTCCTTTACTTACCTGTGAAACCATCTCACCAGCCTGGCCTAGAGCCCAAGAAAATATTATGGGCGTGTCCTGGAGGTCCAAAGAGCAAGAACTAGCATCCTGAAGAACAAAGCCTCTGCTGAGCTGGAGCTTAGTTGACTGACTCATCTTGCTTTTAAAATGAAAGTCCTGCATTCCAGGAACCCCTTCAGTCCTTATTAAAAAAAAAAAAATTATTGGTCCCCCAAAGTTCAAGAACCCTAATTCCCCTGGGTCCTGGGTACCACATTGTACTCCAGACCAAGCAAAAATATGTAAATCCCTTGGAGTGATTCTACCCCCCATCCAGAGATTTTAGATGGAGGTAGAGTACCCAGGACTCAGCAATGCACAGTGACTGGCGGCAAAGAGCGAAATCTTCCAGCATCAGCACTGGCTCTTCGGTCAGAGAGTAGCAATCCCAAAGCAAGTGGTTCAGTGTCTCTGAGGCTCTATTTCCTCATGTGTAACATGAAGATAATGGTACTTCCCTCAAAGATTTTTTTTTATGAGAATTAAAAGGGATAATTTATTTAAAGTGCCTGACATAGGGTCTGACACCGAGTGGCTATTCAGTGTGCGTAGTTCTCAAACTCCTCTCAGCCACAAGGCCCTATTTCGCTCTAAAGAAGCCATCATCCTCCAATAATTTGTCCCCAAGCATGCCCCCACTAGTCCAGGTAGACAAGTAGAAATAGATAAATCAGGCTCATTAAGCATACTTGTAAACTTCCATTTTTACTGCTTTTTGATGTGTAATTAACATATCACTTTTAAAATTTTTTGAGTGCACTTCTGTACTCTCTCTCTCACGCTTCTCCCTGTCCACCAATCCCCAGAAAACTACTGGTCTACTTTTGTCCCTTCAAATTAGTGTTTTCAAGAATTTTATGTAAGTGGAATCACACAGTAGGTATGCTTTTTATGCTGACAATTTATTCTTTCAAAGCAGGTCTTCCCTACCCGCTGAACACTGCATATATGAAGTAGCTCAAAACAGCAGTTTCTATTTTGACACCATCTAAGGTCTATAAAAGTCATCTTCAATTACTTGGAATTTCAAAATAGAGATTCCCTAGTAACAATGCACTGGTAGCACACAAAATATTCCTGCACTTTGTTTAGTTTGTGGGAGAAAATTTTTTAAATTGGAACAATTTCGTAGTCCTACAAAGGTTATGTTGGAAGCAGTTTATTTTTCCCTCTAGGAGGGCGGGCAGCCATCTCTCCAAAGTTTTTGTAAATGCTAAGGTTCAGATTTCAAAATAAAAACAGGTTTTCATGGAACATCTAAAATGGGCCACTCTATTTCTATTCTGGGTCGTGGCAACTCTGAATTATTTTGTATTCCCACACTGCAAAGGGCAAAACCCCATTCCTTGCATGTAAACTTTCAGAAGTGGGGCAGCACAATTTAGGAGTTTCTTGAAGTAGCTAGAGACCTGCAAGGTCAGATCATTCCAAGAATCTGGCCAGATGGGAAAAATCTTGAGATTCTCAGCACTGGGCTCCTGAAGACTTCCACATGCCACATCTAGCTGGTCCTGGGGGATTTGTGGTTGCTGCAGTAGTTGGAGGGTTGCTACTCTTCGCAGCCCAGGTGGTGGGTGCCCTGCTCTCCATCCTGGGAGCCTCCTCTGGCTGTCATGCTCCAGGGACTACTGGGGTTCCAAGGTGAGACCTCCACCCTCCCGTGGTGCCAGCCTCCAATTTGGTATCGCCCCCCAACTCATTGGTGGAAGTCAGTGAGAGTCCTGCTACACTGGGCCTCACCACATACCCAGGCCCAATGCAGCTGGGCAAGATCTTGGCAGAGCTGGGGCTTGGGATCTGCACCCTGTGCAAGGACAACAGAAATGAGCTGGCTCACCTGCCTTTCCCTTGCTGGGGTCTGGGGAAGCCAGCGGTAATTACCCAACCCTCTGTGAAAGGCGAGACTGTGGGTCTACGGGAATGGTGGGAAGACCCTGCCCAGCCTGGAGACTCCAACCTTCACCCCCGCCCTTTGCCCCACCCCAGTCCTACTATCTGTCCTCTTCCTGAGTCTCCAGGCAGCTCTCTGGGTTGACCGATCCCCGCGGGGTGCTCTGGCAGCAAGTCAAGTCCCTCCTCTGCCACTTCCCAGACCAAACCACTGTGCATTCTTTTATGCCTGGCCCCTTTCACTCAGCTAAATTAGATTGAGATTCAAACATGTTTTTGCATGTATCCACAGTTCATTCTTTTTCATTGCTGAGTAGCAAATACCCTCATTATTGTGAATATGTCACTTTTGTTTATCAATCCTTCAATGGGCATTTGGGTTGTTTCCAATTTGAGGCTATTACAAATAAAACTGCTATGAACATTCATGCACAAATCTTTGTATGAACATATGCTTTCATTTCACTTAGGTAAAGACCTCAGAGGAAAATGACTGTTTTATATAATAGGTATATGTTTTACTTCTTAAGAACCTGCCCAACTGTTTCCCAAAATGGTTCTGCCATTTTACATTCCCACGAGAAGTGTATGGCAGTTCCAGTTGTTGCACAGCCCTGCCAATTATTTGTATGCTCACTTTTTCTATTTCTAGAGTTCCAGACATTTTAATAAATACGCAGTGTTGCTTCATTGTGGCTTTAATTTACGTTTTCTTAATGGCTAATGACATGGAGCATCTCTCCTTGAGCTCTTCTGCCTTTGTATATCTTCTTCAGTGAATTATCTGTCCAAATATTTCCTCCATTTTTTTTTACTATTTGGAGCTATTTGGATTCTTATCACTGGATATTAAGGGGATGTGTGTGTATGTATGTGTATATCTATATACACATATGTATGTGTGTATGTACACATGTATGTATGTGTATATATATGTGTGTATGTGTGCATATACGTATATATGTATATTCTTGATACAAGTGTCTTGTCAAATAAATTATTTAACATATTTTCTCTGCACTGTGGCCTATCATTTTATTCTCTTAAAAAATTTTTTTCAAATAGCAGAAGTTCTTAATTTTGATAAAGTCCAGTTAGTTGCTTTTTTATGGGTTGTGTTTATTGTGTCACACCTAAGACATCTTTGCCTGACTCTAGGACACAAGGATTTTCTCCTATATTTTCTCCTAGAAGTTAATTTTTGTTCAGGCATACCTTGAAAATATTGCTGGTTCAGTTCCAGACTGCCACAATAAAGCGAGTTACACATTTTTTAAATTTCCCCGTGCATATAAAAGTTATGTTTACACTATACTACAGCTTATTAAATGTGCCATAATATTATGTCAAAAAAGTACATACCTGAGTTAAAAATACTTTATTGCTAAAAAATGATAATCATTGGAGCCTTCAGCAAGTGATAATCTTTTTGATGGTGGAGGATCTTGCCTTGATGTTGACAGCTGCTGACTAGAGTGACTGGTACAGCTCTTTTTTTTTTTTTTAGACAGAATCTCGCTCTGTCACCCAGACTGGAGTGCAGTGCTGTGATCTTGGCTCACCGCAACCTCTGCCTCCTAGGTTCAAGCAATTCTCAAGGTACAGTTTCCTGAGATAAGACAACAATCAAGCTTGGTGCATCAATTGACTCTTCCTTTCATGGAAAATTTATCTTTAGCATATGATGCTGTTTGATAGCATTTTACCCACTGTAGAACTTCTTTCAAAATTCGAGTCAATCATCTAAAAACCTGTCGCTCCTGTATCAACTAAACTTATGGAATATTCTAAATTCTGTGTTGTCATTGCAACAATGTTCACAGCATCTTCACCAGGAGTAGATTCCATCTTGAGAATCAATGTTTTTGCTCATCCATAAGAAGCAACAATTCATCTGCTCAAGTTTTATTATGTGATTGCAGCAATTCAGTCACATCTTTGAACTCCACTTATAATACTAGTGTTCTTGCTATTTCTAACACACCTGTGGTTACTTCCACCACTGAAATCTTGAATCCATCCAAAGTCATCCATGAGGGTTAGAGTCAACTTCTTCCAAACTTCCGTTAGTGTGGATATTTTTACCTCCTCCCATGAATCACAAATATTCTTAATGGCATCTAGAATGGTGAATTCTTCCCAGAGAGTTTCAGTTTACTTTGTCCAAGTCCATCAGAGGAATCACTACCTAAAGCACCTATGGCAGCTATATCCTTACAAAATGTATTTCTTAAATAATAAGACTTGAAGGTTGAAATTACTTCTTGATCTGTGGGCTGTAGAATCGACATTGTGTTAGCAGACATGAAAACATCAATCTCCTTTATATCTCTATCAGAGCTCTTGGATGACTAGGTACATTTGTCAATAAGCAGTAATATTTTGAAAGGAATCTTTTGTTCTGAGCAGTAGGTCTCAACAGTGGGCTTAAAATATTCAGTAAACCATGCTATAAACAGATTTTCTGTCAACCAGACTTTGTTGCTTTATTTATAAAGCACAGGAATAATAGATTTAGTATAATTCTTAAGGGCTTTAGGATTTTGGGAATGATAAATGAGGATTGACCTCAAAGTCATCAGGAGTATTAACCCGTAACCAGAGGGTCAGTCTGTTCTTTGAAGCTTTGAAGCCAGGCATTGACTTCTCCTCCCTAGCTGTGAAGTCCTAGATAGTATCTTCTTCCAATAGAAGGTTGTTTCATCTACACTGAAAATCAGTTGTTTAGAGTAGCCACCTTCATGGACTATCTTAGCTAGATCTTCCGGGTA